TTCTTGTTGTTCGATAGAATATTACTTTAATAGTGTTATGACTAGATCTAATAGGTTGCATGTACCCTTAAGAGTATAATGATTTTTCTACTTAATAACATGTAAAACTCATTAAGACTAAGGTAGCCCTCCAGATGACAGAGCTTATCCAGCATACCAGACCGATGTTACAGATAGCTCAGAGCGGATAGAAGAGTTATGCTGATAGACGACAATCTGAGTTAGAGTTTCATGTCATAGATATGATTTTATTAAAGTTATCACCCTGAAAGGGTGTTATATTCTTTAGGAAGATGGGCAAGTTGGGTCCTCGGTTTATTAGACTGTTTTTGAGTGGTGGCTAGGGTATGAAGTGTGGCCTGCCGATTGGATATGCATGCGGAGCTTAGTTAGATTCAAAATACCTTCAATGTTTTTCAAATTTAGAAGTGTGTGGTTGATGATTCAGTGGTGGTTCCTTTAGATGACATTCAGGTTCATGAGCGCTTGAATTATATAGAGAGGCCAGTGGCTATTCTAGATAGGAATACGAAGGCTTTATGCAACAAGGTAGTTCATCTAGTTAAAGTCTAGTGGTAGCATCGGAAGGGTTCTGAGTGGACATAGGAGATCGAAGTGGAGATGCACAAGCACTATCCAAATCTATTTTCTAGTTAAGGATTTACAAGACTAAATCAAGCTTTGATGGGGGAGATTTATAATGCCAATTTTCGGGTATGTCTCTTTTAAGTAAATTGATATTTTGAATTTTGGATTTCCAGTGGCTAGGATGTGGTGATGCAGTCCTACGATGTGGCCAAGGTCATTAATTGCATGGAGACTAAGTTACTGCCACGACGTGGCGATCTATTTACCACAGTGCGGCCTTTGTTTAATGACAAACCCTAATCTAAGGTTTGTGCCCCTATTTTAGGAATGTGATGGCTAGGGTTTCCCATCCTCAGCTCTAAAAGCAAACTATATCCTCCATTGCTAACTCTTGAGTTTTTGTGGTGTTTGGTGGTGTTTTGGAGAAGAAGAAGGTGTCATTGAGCTTTGTTTCATCAAGCAACTCTCCCATCCACCTGGTGCATGATTTTTGGACTTTTGTAAGCCCTCAATATCTAATTTTATGATACTTGTCTCTAGATCTAGCCGTTTTGTCCCTTAATCTTCAAGGTGTGGGAATTTGAAAAGTTGGATCCCGTAAAGTTGGCAACTTTATGGATCTTTGTGGTTATCCTAGTGTCATATGCTCCAGATATGAGGATCTTTGGAGTTTTGGTCCCATACTCAAGCTTTTAGTTCCTTATTGCCATGTTTTTGACCTAAAATGGAAGGGAGGTGCATTGGACATGCATGTCCATAAAACTACGATTTTTACGTCCCATTAGTTGTAGGAAATCCTTTTGGAAACTTTGGAAGAATAACTCTAGTGATTAGGTGCTTAATGGGTGTTTGCATACCTTTATATACCTTTAAGGATTTAAGGTTTGGGATCTTGCCTTATTAAGGTTTCTTAATGGATAAAATTGGAAACTTTATCTATCTAGACCATGGGAAGGGCCAGATATGAGCTTTGGAGCTCTTGGAGTTGTAGGAAAATGGCTTAATAGGTTAAGTTGTCCAAACTAATCCTCATGTCGTGGCCTTATATTGCTATGGCGTGACGACTGGGTAGAACCCGTCTGTTTCGTCATTTTACTTCCACGACGTGGCGACCAACCAAATTTTGACCTTTGACTTTGACTTTGACCAATTTTGAATTTAGGTTGAATAGAGTAATGTGAGTTGTAGAGCTGGTATTTAGAGCAGTAATCAGTTCATCTATCTTTTATACTTTGAGGTGATTTTTCTTCACTGTACTCATGGGTCAAAGGCACCAATGCCAGCCCACTAGGTTGAGTTATGTATCCTTATGTATAGGATGTTGTTATGTTGTAGTGTTCTGCTACATTGGTAGATCTGCATGATTCCCTATACTGGTTGGTCATTGTTATCTATTGCATATGTTGACATAGTGTGGTTGGGTTGAGGTCTTATGGCTCAGTGTTGTAAGCGAACAAACTCGGGGCAATCCATTCCGATGACTGTGAGCCGGGACAATCCAGTTTGATGACTGTGGGCCAAGTATAATCCAATCCGATGGTTGTGGACTCGAGGATAATCCATTTTGATAACTGTGGAGCAAGTATGAATACTTATATATGTTTGTGTTGTGTGGGGTATTTTGGGCGAACTCACTAAGCTTTGGTTTATAGTTTGGTTTTGTGATTACAGTTTTGCTTACAGTTTGTTTTTATCATGATTTTTTTGGATGTTACACTGTGTGTTAGTTTCTTATTTATATGGATGTACGAAGTTGGTTTAGCTTGTGTTTGATTTATTAATACCTAGCATGTTAAAAGTTTCAATCTTTGTTGCTTAAATTTAAGTCAAGTGTAGTTAAATGGACATTTTAATTGCATTAACTTGTCTACCTAGTTGTTTATGATCCTTAAAGTGTTAGAGCTAGTGATTCACGGAATCCTAGATTAGGTAATAAAGATAATAACTTTAAATGTGTTAGAAAACATAATTTGATCATTATTGTGTTTGGTTATTTGTCTTTATTATAGATAATAAATATTAGATATATCTTACATAACCTAATAATCTTTAATAATCAATTTAGTGTCTACATATGTATGATCATTGTATAGTTGTTCATAAATTGGTGAAAATATTAGGAGATCGGATCAAGACTTCTAATAACCTTTAATATTGGCAACCAACCGAAGTAATCCGTGTCTTGAAACTAACCATAGGAAAAAGGGGGATTTAAAGCTAAACGAAAATGTATTTATTCTCTTGATGACAATCGTCTTAGTTAGTTGTTTGCTTAGTTGTTTAGTTAATTGAAGTAATTAAGTTAATATGAACTAGTAAAATCATATAAAAATCTCTATTTTAGTTATTGTTTTTGGATTATCTTTTAATAGTTATTTTATTAGCTAAATTTTGTTTCCTGAGTTTTATACCCAATTTACTTTATTATATTATAAACTGACTAGGTATATTATAAGTAAATAAAATTATGTTAGGTTATAAATTTAAAACAGTGATATATATATATATATATATATATATATATATATATATATATATATATATATATATATATATATATATATATATATATATATATGGTTGGGATTATATGTTATCTACAATTATTGTGTTATTATGTTGCTATTACAATCTATACTAGAATTGTCATATTTGCACTTGTATTCCTCTAAATCAGTTCAAGAATGTTTGTATAATAATTATACAAATATGTATATTCTGTAAAAAAAAAATGTATTTTTAAATACCTAAAATTAAAATGACATTCTTTCAAGAATGCATCCTATAAAAAATATATAATTTTGTTCTTTTTTTTTTTTTCTAGAAATGCACATTGTCTCAACATAGCAACGTCTCTATAGTTCCTTCTCACCTTTCAATGCCTCCCTCCTTCACCGATCATCTTCCTCTTCTCCCTTCCGACGTCGTCTAGAACGGTCGTCGTCGTTATCTAGAAGATGTCTACAGCCGCCGCTAACCACCTCTCCATCACATCAGATGTCCCACCGACCACCTTCCTTCTCACGCTGCTCCTATTCATTGCTTCTTCCCAGGCCACACTCTTCTATCTATAGTAGGTTTGTTGAAATTGTTTCTGAAATAGCTAAAATGGCTTTATGTTAGTTTCTAATCGTGTAATTTTCTTTAATAGCCAAAATCGTTTTTGAAATAGCTAAAATCGAATTTCTATAGACTGTATGGGTTGGTATCTATTGTTGTGAATTTATTGTCATTCAACCATTCTGATGCACTCTATGTGTTCGATAAAATATATCTTTTTTAATAGTATAATTTCATTATCTTTGTTTTTCTTTTTTTCTTTAATTTCCCTCGTGGCACATTCAAGAAATATTCAACAAAGAAAGATGATATTGATGTATGTATAATGTATTATCTCTCTTTATCTATTTCAATTTTTGTAATTTCTTGAATCATGTTTAGTGCTCATTTTACGATCGCTAAATGATTTTAAAATAAAAAAATAAAAAAAATAAAACCTATTTTTACCCTAAATTTTAGAATTTTTACATGGTTTTTGAGCTTAAAAAAGCAATTTTACATTAAATTTCATGATGGATTTCAAATCTCGTGTCGATATTTCTTTGTTCCATTCAGTTGAGATTGACCTGCTTTGATGGACGCCTTATTGCCTATTCAATCGGTTGGTGAGAATATAGCTTCATTTTATGAAGTTCAAGGTTCTTAAACGAATTCAAGGTTCATTAATTTGTTTTTACAAGTTTCTTAGATCTCTATTACCTATTCAATGGATTCGAGGGAGTTGGTTTTCATCTCACAAAATCTAAATATAGTTTTTTGCAAGCATTTTGATATGAATTTACGGTTTGCATCACCACTTATCATCATAAGTACAATCCGAGTTTCTCGGTTTCTCCTCTACCTATTCAACTTTTTACAAAAATCAAAATATAAAATATTATGTTTTGTATCTGAATTAAAGTAACGAATTTTAGTTTTTGTTTACAAGGACCATTTGTTCCATGCAACTGACAACTCAACTATAAAAATAAAGACCAAAGTTCGTTAGGAAACTATACAACACACAACTCAGTGACAAAGAAAATTGCAGATTTCTAATTACATGATTCATGGATTTCAAAAATACAAAAGTCATTTGTTGACTTGCTCTATTTGAAGATTTTCTCGAAATAAAAAAACAATGGAACCTTTTCTTGACCGACCATCTTCACCTCAACCCTTCTCCACCCTTAACTCCAAAAACAACCACCTCTTTCCTCCATCTCCGTCACCTTATTCCTCCATTCATCATCACCAAAAACTCGACCATTAAACGTCTTCCATACCCACGAGACCCAACTCCATTTCACCACCCTTATTACTCCCTTCACAGCTTACACAATCACCAACCCCCCACCATCGTCCCCTGTTATTTACCTGCACAACACCACCAAGTACCACCCTCCTCCATTCATCAGCCACCACGTGACCACCTTATTCCACCCTTGAACCTCCTTTACCCTCAATCCTTTTGACCTCCACCTAAACCCCACTTCACCCTCCATTACAGCCTCCGTTATCCGCCAAATCACCCACACAAACAGCCACCACCGAACTACCTTATACGACCATACACCTCACCATTCATCCTCTTTCACCCTTTCCTGATTCCAGCTTCCACACACCACACAATCATCCACAACTTACTGCCTTCGTCCCAACACCACCACGCACGACGACCCCACCTTTGAGCCTCCATACAACCTTTATTTTCATCTTCGTTTCCTGGGATCGTTTGAAAAATATAGACCTGCTATCGATTGTGAAGAAGGAGAGAGAGAGAGAGAGAGAGAGAGAGAGAGAGAGAGAGAGAGAGAGAGAGAGAGAGAGAGAGATGTTGTGATCGAATAAAAAAGAAAAAAGGGGGTGAATTTGAGCAGAGAAAAGAAGACTGGGATAAGAAGAGGGTACCTCGATTTTCTGTGTGTAGAATCTGCTTAAGAACGTGAGGAAGAAAGAAGAGGGATTCCGACTTCTGTTGCTGATACCGGAAACGCACAAAGGGATACAGGGGTGTTGGACTAACTGCATCTCATTGTGGGCCTGTGATCTTTTTTATTGGCCTGGTAATTTCTTTTGAGGGCTATACAATTCACCTAGACAACTGATTCGGGGAGTATTTCACTATTTCTTGTGGTTTTGTTATTATTTCACTTAACTTGAATTATTCCTGTAAGTTAAACAAAATACGGTTGTTGAACTTATTATGCTTATTTTTGTTCGATTAACTGTTATGGGGTAATTCATTTTCATGGGTTTAGTTGGCTTGGGTTAGTGATGATTTAATATGTTAAGTTAATTGATATAAAGTGTGTGGTTATTGTTTGATGTTTAAATGTGTGTTTAATGTAAAAATTGCTTAAAAAAATTAGGTTAATTGACAATGTTTATTATTTGGTCAATAATAGATGTTAAATATTAATTTGGACTTCATTTTATAATTAATTTCAACTTTTGATTTAAAAAGAAGTTTTAGTTGGGAAATCATTTGAATATGAATGTATGATATAGTTGTTGGGTCTAAAATATTGGTTTATACTTTACTTTTTTAGAAAAATATATTTTTTAGTCTAGGACCGTAAACAGCTTGGTGTTTATGGTTATATGTCTGTTTATGGCGGTGAACCTGTGCACGGTCCATGTCTTATATATATATATATATATATATATATATATATATATATATATATATATATATATATATATATATATATGTGTGTGTGTGTGTGTGTGTGTGTGTTAGGTAGGTGAGGAGTGGTTGATGAACAGTTGAGAGAGAGAGAGAGAGAGAGAGAGAGAGAGATGAGCATAAGTGTGTGTAACTGTGTGAATCTTGTGTAAGTAATTTTATTCTAATCAAATCATACAATATTCATATTATTATTCTTCTTTTTCTATTCTATTTTGATATGACATCATCTATTTCATTGAGATTTCGCACCATCAAATGGATCTGATTGATATACAAGCAGATTTAGGACTTACAAACTTCTTCGTTATAACTTAGATTTCAACGTTTTTTATATGTACTGGATCCTTTTGACATATACTATAACTTTGGTTAAAATTATTTACTCTAAATAATCTTCTATAAAAAATCATTTTTAACGTTTATTGTCTCTAAATTGACTAGTCTGAATCTGCGGGCCTTACATAAACCCTATTATCCATGTCTATTTTGTTTGTTGGCTTGCGGAATTTAAACCACAACATTTTCAGAGGTTTTTTAATTTGACTTGAATTTTCAAAATCCATCATCGATCTACACTTAAATTGATACTCAATATCCTATTTTGACAATCGATGGCTTGCGGAATTCACATTTTAACATTGAAGTACTATTCCATCTCGGTAATTATGATTGAAACCAATGAACGTGAATCATGATTCATTGCTATATTGGAGAGACAAACAAAATCTTTGTTTCACCTTTCCTTATAGGTAATCAAATGTGATAGTTTCTTTCAGTTTTACTAAATTGTGATCAAACATTGAGATACCATGTCAAAAAAAACATATGCATCAATTAAATGCATATGTTTTCTTGAAAAAAAAATTCAAAATATACAATGCATTGGTTCACTATAAATAAGTAACTAGGATTTTGTAACTAAGTTAATCATATGTCGTATGATTTTTGTTAATTATAGTTATAAACTTTTTTTAAAAGTAAATATATGCATTGGATTGATAGTATGATTTTTGGGATAATATTGGGGAGGGAAAAAACACAAGTTATTAGATGCATACATGGACGGAGCATATATAGGGCCACCTATTTTTTTATATATATATAGTCCATAAGTATTGAAAAGGTTACATACCCCCCCCCCCCCCAAATTTTTATATGTATTCTATTTTCCGCCCCCAAAATTATATTTAATACACTTGAACTATAATATTATTAATTTATTTAATTTACAAAGAATATGGTCAAAATATAAATAAAACAATGGGGATGCATACTTCACAATATTGTTACTCAAAAAATGTTTCACAATATTGTTACTCAAAAACATATTACATGCATATTCACAGATATTAATTTACATTGATAACTTTTGTTTACAACTTTCATACTTCACAATATTATTACTCCAAAACATACTACATGCATATTCATAGATAATAATTTACATCGATAACTTTTATTTACAAACGACTGGATACAAACTGACAATTACAAAGTGTTGTATATTACATAACTAGGTGTCAACCCCATGTATTACATGGGTGTATTTAAAACAATTAAATATATATTAAAACATTTGAGAAATTTGAATTTATAAGAAAAATGAGAAAAATATTAAAATATAAAAATTAAAGTGTTTTTTTCGTTTTTAAATTTAAACAAATAATTTAGATAAATAACCAAAGTAAATTAATGAGGTTTTATTTTAGTAATTTTGAAATTATAAGAAAAATCCATTAATGAAATTGATATGCATTTATTATTAAATTTAAATAACATATGGAATTTAATAAAATATGAAAACTACAAAATTACATGTGGAATAGAAATTAATTCAAAATAACCACAAAATGACATGTGGCAAAATAAATGAGAATGTGACAAGTGACAAAAAAAAACCTTCATTTATTAGAGAGGACTACCCATGATATTATAGTTTTATACATACATGAGTACAAAATACAATAGTTTCAATCTATTCAAAATCTTCCATCAGTATATAACTATATTGATTGTTTATTTCCTGCGATTGTTAAACATTGAGAGGGTAAGTGGTGACGCTTTGTGAGTTCAACAATAGATACAATATAACGTTATGCTATATATATATATATACACACACACACACACACACACACTTCAATATGACAGAAGCAAAGAGAAACAAGGAACAACAAAGGCATATGTAAATCATGCGACAAACTTTCAATATCAATCAATGATTTGATTCAAAGATATACAATCAATAAGTCATAACAATTTTTGTTGGGTCAAAAAATATGGTTTATACTTTACTTTTCTAGGAAAATATATTTTTTATTCTTGAACCGTAAACAGCTTGGTATTTACGGTTGTATGTATGTTTACGGTTGTATTTACGGCCGCAAACAGGTTTACAGCCATAAACCCATTTACGACACATGCTCCCTATTTACATATAAATAGATGTTAGGTGGGTGAGGAATGGTTGATGAACAGAGAAGAGAGTGTACGACTGAGAGAAGAGAGGAGCTTAAGTGTGTGTAAGTTATGTGTGAATCTTGTATTTTGGATCTACATTCTAATCAAATCATACAAGATTCATCGTCTTCTTCTTCTACTTCTTCTTCATTTGATCTGACATCATCCGTTTGATTGGGATTCCGCACCATCAAACGAGTCTGATTGATACACAGGCAGATTAGGGACTTACAAGTGGTATCAGAGCTTGGATATTAGTATCAATCATTTTGGCCAGATTTGGAATATATTTGATCTTATTTTTGAAAGATTTTTTGCGTTTTTGGATAGATCTCTGAAAAATAAGGAGGGGGGGCGTGTTCTTTGCGTTTTTGAAAAAAATGAGTTTTTGATCGAGTTTTGGAGCATAAAAGGGTAAAAACGTTGTTTTTTTAAGGGTTTACGGTCATTGAAGGGTTTACGGCTAGGGTTTCTAGGCGGCGACGGCTAGGGTTTCTGGGGTTTATGGCCTCGATTTATGGTCATTATTTACGGCCTCGGTGTATACGGCTCGGTGGTTTGCAGTCCAACAGCGTTTCTGGTTCGCTTCGATCTCGGCCTCCCACCTCGTCCTCGCATCCAGAAAAATAGGAAACATTTTTTAGGTTGGTGGGATTCGAACCCGGGTGCTTCACTTCAACAACCGCTTTTTCCACTTGATTTAGCTTGCTAGATGTTCCTCTCCTTTCCTTTTTAATTCATAAAGCTTCACTGTTTCACTTTTAATTTTGCAAATTTGTCACTTTTAACTCAAAAAATCAATTTCTTTTATTTTTAAATTACATTTTCAACCTAAAATTGTAGTTTTTAATTTTTTGACTTTTATTTTTAATTTTTTACTTAAATTTTTAACTTTGACTTTCAAGTTTGACATTTGACTTTAAATTTTGACTTTCTCGTTTAACTTTCAAATTTTCAAATTTAGTTTTTCGGTTTGACTTTTCAAGTTTGACTTCTAAGTTTGATTTTTTAAATTTGATTTTTAAGGTTGACTTTTGAGTTTTAAGTCAAATGACATATTTTTAAACAATGAGTTCCTCAAACATTTCGGTCAATGAAATTTCATGCTCTCAAACTTGCATTAAAATTGTTAAAAATTTACATGAACACATCAATTTATTAAAAAGAGAAAATGAGGAACTTAAATATGAGGGGTACCAACTTAAGAAAGGCCTGAAACCATTAAAAGAATAATTAGAGGCCAAGACTAATGACTTTAAGAAATTACAGTCATAATACAGTGAGAAATGCGTTCATTATAGATATCTTAAGGAAGATTTTGATGTTGTGACTGCCGAACTTGATGCAGTAAAAGCAAAATATAAAGATGTTGAATTCAACTTTAAGAAACTTGATGTGTCAAGTGAGGTAGTTGCATCGATGATTGAAAAACAATAAACATTTAAAGATAATCAAACTAAGGGGTTAGGGTATCATAGTGTACCACATCGCTTTAATGACAACTATAACCCACCCCTTGAGACAAACGAGGAAGAAACACCTGCTTAGTGTGGCCCACTCCCTGAACCAACTCCAACTTCAGTTAAGACTGAACAATCAGGTCCAACTGAGGGTGTTGAGGTGAAGAATAATGATGTTTCTACTTCCTATGCAGGTAAAGTAGCGAAAGATGAGAACAAGGAGAACACTATTGAACAAACCAACGTCTCCTTGAACTCAGAATCTGTTACTTCTGATCAAACTGATGTTAGTAAATACAGGCCACTAAAACAAGCAAATCAGAGTGCCTGCTGCAAATGTGCTTGTGGGAACAACCAAAAATGTGGCAAGGCTACACCACCAGGGGCAGGAAGAAACAACTTCCTAGTAAAGAAAAAGACATGTTTTCACTGTGGAACACCTGGACACAGTGCCAGAAATTATCCAAATCGCGCATACGTTCCCTACTATGCATAAGGGTGGCAGAACGCACCAAGAGGGAGATTTTCCAAAAGAAACCCCTCAAGGTCACGTTCAGACAATGGCGACTGGAATGCCACGAAGGGCAAGAGTTCAACTCCTAAGGCCAAGAATCAAAATCCCAAGGCTAAGAAGGGAATGCCAGTCAAGAAGTCCAATCC